ACCCCCTGGGGCATCCAGCCTTCATGAGGTCAAGGTTCTCTTCTTCCACCTATGCCCAGCAGGGCCCTCCACTTTTACATATTCAGCTGAAGCCCTGGATCCCCCCCTAAGTGCTCCCAGGCTGGTGGTTTAGACCCTGGGAGCTGTGGTTGGTTGGTATTGTTGCTCTCCTCATGGTGCCATAAATCCTTTCAGCTCCTTCAGTCTTCACTCTAACTCCTCTATTGAGAAACCCATGATCAGTTCAATGGCTAGTTGTGAGCATCTGCCTCTGAATATGTCTGATTCTTTAAGGCCTCTGAGGAGATATCCATATCAGGCTCTTATCAGCATGCACTTCCTGTCTTCCACATCAGCATGTACCTTTGGTGATTGCACATGGGATAGATACTCAGGTGGAGTGGTCTTGAGACGGCCCCTCCTTCAGTTTCTGTCCCTCACTTTGTCTCCATATTTGCTCCCTTGAGTATTTTGTTGCTCCTTCTAAGAAGGACCGAACCACCCTCACTTGGTCTTCCTTCTTTATGGGCTTCATGTGGCCTGTGAGTTGCATCTTGGGCATTTCAAGGTTCTAGGCTAATATCCAATAATCAGTGAGTGAATACCATGTGTGTTCTTTTGTGATTGGCTTACCTCACTCAGGATGATAATTTCTTCTTAACAAAGTGGTCACAGCTGCCTGGGAACACTTGCCTCTCTCCCATAGCTCCAGAGTGGGCTTTATCACTTCAAGGACACTTCCTTCAACGGCAAGAGCCATCTGCACCGGGAAAGTGCTATCAGTTAGAATTATCAGGAAAAAGGGAGTGCAATGTTAGGCACTGGACTTGGGCTCCCCTTTGCCCTCTTCGAAGGCTGGAGACATCTGTGCTGTGGGTTGGGGGAAGGGAATGCTGGCCTTTCTGGCTCAGTGCAGGGATAAGAGAGTGCAGGATTTGATGCGCAGAGACAGGGGTAGGTTAACTGTGTCTCTTTACAAAGTACTAAGATAGGCATTTTCCGGATTGAACTGGCTATCTCAAGTCCATGATATAATTACAAATACTGGTGCTCCTCCCTCTGTCTCCCAGTAGCTGAGATGATAGGCTTCTATGCCTCTGGGTTTGCATGAGGTGCTGAGAACTGACTCCTGGGCTTTGTTCATGCTAGGCACAAACTACTAACTAAACTATATCCCTCAGCCTTACCTTCTCTTCTGAAAGTGAAATCTCTAACCATTTGTCATTACTTTGTAGAAATCTTGCTAGATTTACCCATTAATACTAAATTATGGTTCCACTTTTGAATTTCTGTGCATGCAATCCTATAATTTAAGAATAATACCATTTTTTCTTTTATCTTTTTGCATGTAGTATATATAAGTTGTGGATGCATGCCTACTGAAATCATTGATTTCTGAGCATTGTTTCTTCTGGGAAACCCTTGTTATACCCCTTACATCCATAGCTAGTGAGAAACTATATCCTAGATGTGGGGCTACTTTCTGATTACTTACAAGTGGACAATCCATATCTGCAAAGAGCCTCTTGTATTTTTCAAATAAACTTTTATTTTTAATTTATGTGTATGGGTATTTGTCTTGCATGTATGTCTGTGTACCGCTTGTAAACAAATATCCATGGAGGGCAGAAGAGGGCACTGGGTCCACTAGAACTGGAATTGTGATCTTGCATTCAGAGCTGGGAATTGAACTAAGGTCCTCCAGAAGAGCAGCAAGTGCTCTTAACTGCTGAGCCATCTCTCCAGCCTTCTGTGGATGAAGTCTTAACATAGCACACTCATTGGTTTGCCTTGAGTGATACCAAATATCCAGGTTGAAAAGCTATGAGAAACTATGTGGACCCAAGCACAAAATATTACTATCTGTATTTAGGATGATGTTTGCTGGTTAGTGTTTGTATAGTAACCGATAGGTAACACAGAATTACTATTTTTAAAAACATTTTTTGGCTAAGCCAGCAGCAATTTATTCTCAAGGACATAGGTATCTTGGTTTAAAGGCCTAGTTGGAATTTGGCTTGAGGTCAGAGCAGGCAACCTCTGAGGCTGTGTCTCAGGAGTTCTTACATTTATCTGCTCTTGGAAGATGTAGTTTTAAGCAATTCTTCTGTCACAATATATCTGTCTTAGAGTACATGTGTCACCTTCTTTGTGGCCTGTCCATAACATTAAAGGACTCCTTACCCCAGTGTTCCTACCATGACCTACACTTCCTCCATTCCTACTCTGACATAGAATAATATCTCCCCCCCAAGATAGTTTTTTTAAAAATTTGTAATTAAATTTATTGAGAAGATCTTTGTAAAATGACCATGAGTACCTTATATTGAATGTATTTTGGGATACACACAGTGTTTCCTCAAGTATCAAAAATATCTATGTGTGAAATTGAAAAAGCAAGACACACATACAAATTGACATAGAACTAGCGTTTGTATTTGTAAGCAAAGGGGGAAAAACCCAACAGCCCTGCAAATGCACAGAGAGAATAGCACTAGAAAATACCATGGAGAAGCCAGAATTTTTTAAAATGACTGATAGATACCATGAGGATGGAAAATTCTTTTCTTGTTGTTGATGTTTTTGTTTGTTTTGTTGTTTCTTTGAGTTCAGGTTTTTGTTCCTTTGTTTTGTTTTGAGACAGTTTCTCTGTGTAGCCTTGGCTGTCCTGGAACTCACTCTGTAGTCCAGGCTGGCCTCTCAGATATTCTCCTGTCTCTGCCTACTGAGTGCTTGAATTAAAGGTGTAGACCACCACCACCTGGCATATGGAAAATTCTTGAGTGACAGAATTTGACTTTTCAGTGAAATATTCTGAGTGAAGTTTATCCCATCCAATTCCACTAGCCTAAAATACATTTACTCAGCCATTGACAAATGTATATATGCATATGAATCTTGGTTTTACATGTTACATAATTTATTAATAAAAAGTGAAATTCGAGGTCGTGTTCTCTTTAAGGCTAACTGTCAACTTCCAGAAAATGCTTTCATCATAAATGAACTTTCTGACATCTTTAACTTCGAGACAGAGGAAATAAGAATACCAGATGGCAATCTGGTAAGTATATCATATCACCCTATAGAATGTTCACAACTTAAAGCAGGACATGTTAGCAACTGTGTCATCCCTACATCAGAAAATTTCCTTATTACAATACTAAATTTGTTAAATTGCATGCCATTGAAAACTTAAACACTTTGCTCATAAAACAAATTTATTTTCTTATAAAATTATCTCTAAGAGCTAGAGATTTAGCTCAGGGGAGAGTGCTTACTTAGAACAAATGGAGACCTGAGTTCTTGATCCCTAGTACTGCACGAACCAGGAATGGCAGTGAGTGCCTGTAATCTTTATACTTTGGTGGAGGATAGAGGATCAGAAGTGGAAGGTCAGGGCTGGAGAGACAGCTCTATGGTTAAAGGAACTGGATGCTCTTCCAGAGAACCTGGTACTATTCCTAGAATCCATATGATAGTTGACAACTGTCTGCAACTCTAGTTCAATGAGATCAGATATCATCTTCTGGCATCTTTGGACATTGTAGACACTGCATGCATGTCGTACACAGACACACATGCATCAATAAAAACCAGTATATTTAAACCGATAAAAAATTTTAAAAATTAAAAAATAATTCTTAAAAAAAAAAGAAGTGCAAGGTCATTCTCTGGGACATAGTGAGTTTGAGGTCAACCTAGGATGTATGACATTTTGTCTCAAAAACAAAAAAAAAAGACAGATGACAGAAGGAAGAGGAGACGCTTCATTGTAGTAGATTCAAAATATCCTAGCAGTAAATATAGTGGTGAAGTTAGGAAAGAAATGAATGTTATTTTTTTCATTGTCAAAATTGTTGTTTGCATCTTTTTTCTTTTTTAGTTGTCTACAAAATCCTTTGATATCACTGTTTTCCGTGATTTTCTATTTATCTTTGATTTGCCATCCAAAATTAAATTAATGAAACATGACTCATCTGTAAAACTGTGGGTATGTATGTTTTCTGTTACTATGCCAAAATAACTGAGGTGATATCCTTTATAAAGAGATTTATTTAACTCAAATGTTTACTGACATGATGTAGGAATCCTGATAGGCCCGTTCTTATTTCTTCATTACCCTGTCTCCCACCACCAGCATTAAAACATGAGGAGAACCACAAAAGGACTTTGCCATGTGTCAAAAGCGCAAGTTGCATTGGATGGCCTCACTTTATAACAACCTGTTCTCACAGGAACTAACCCACTCTGTGAGGCGCATAGTAATCCCCTCCAAGGGTAGTGTCCCATGACCTAATTATCTTCTAGGAGTACCAATCTAAAAGTTAATTATGAGCACACTAAAGACAAAGTTTCACATGAGTCTTTGGAGACTCAGTCAAATGATATTCAAGCCAATATGGGTAACCATACTTTTGTGTGTGATGAAAAATTTAAAACATGTATAAAGTAAAAATGGTGGTACCCTTTACCAAGATCCTCAGGTATAAACATTTTACCACATATGTTTGTCTATCACTTTTGTTAATTTTTCAGTTACTACTTCTTTCTTTCTTCTGAAATATTTTAAGGCAAATGCCAGCTCAAATTTCTTTTCAGGATTCAATCCTTTAACCTGCTAATCTGGCCACCTCATTCTTCTGTGTGCTTGTCATCTCATGCTGCTTCCAGTTTAATATTTTCCTCACTTACTCTTTCTAATTAAATGTTTTAATTTAATTTTAATAAATAATTTATTTATTTACGTTCCAAAAGTTGCCCCCTTCCCAGTCCCCCTCCCCGAGTTCTTCACCCCCTCCCCCTGCCTCTGAGAGGGTGCTCCCCTACCTGCCCAGTTTCTCAGAGCTTGGCTTATAAGTATAAACATATTTGACTATTATTTTGTTAATTCTTTGAGAATGTCATACAATGTATTTTGATCATATTAACTCCTCATAAGGCTCCTCCCAGATCCACCCTCACCCTCATTTAGTGTTCTTTCTCTCCATTCCACCCTGTTTTTAATCCTTAGTCCAATTACTGTTGGCCATCTACCACTCCTGGATTTTACAGTCTCACCACCCCTTCCTCTGTGAAGGTCCCTGAGCCTGTAGAGAGATGGCATGATATAGGCTCTATCACGGACGACACCGAAAACTTGACTTATACAATATAGAGGAAATCAAGTCGGTACTGACTTGGAAGCTTCATTCCTATTGGATAGCTTTTACGGTCCTAGAAGGTGCTACACACACTACCACAGGAGAAAAACAATAATAATCAATCTGACCTAGGGATGAATCCTGCAAGATAATGACTGTCCTGGCAAGATATACTAAGTGCTGCTAGTGGCATGAGTGTATGGGGAAAAAAAACAACCATTTTCTGGTTCAATTTAAAGCTCATTCTATGAGATTAAACCAATACCTTGCAGCAGTATCGGGGCTGAGGAACTTGTGCCTAGGTAAGTTAGAGGCCCTAGAAGAGAACCTACTATAATTATTCTGCTAAATAGCCATGGTATTAAAATAACTACTAATGACTTATTGCTATAAACATAGATTCTTAGTGAATTTCTCAAGCTCTGTTAAAGAAACTGTTCCTTATAATACACAGCAATTAGCACAGAGACCCATAACTGCTCAACATGCAAATGATGAGACTGCAGAATGCACAGTCCGAATATGACATCTACATCCTATAGCTAACACATACCTTGTAATTTTTACAACTTACTTTCTACTTTGATTATTTTGTTCCTCTCTCACAATTACATTACTAGCATACAACATTTACATATCACAGTTGTATATTATATCATGTCTAAGGAAAAATTGTATATATATATATAATATATATAATAATTATATACAACATACAATTATATTATATATAATTTGTATATTAATTATATATAACATACAATTATATATAATTATTATATGTACATAATATTGCCCTAGACATTATGCTAAAGATTATCCAAAATTTTTTGATGGCTACAGTTTGTTTTCTAGGTCATTTCTCAGGAAGGATTCATATTGACTTATGATATTTAGACATTAATGATTTATTACAATCCAACATCGTATACATTATTATATTTGTTATAAATCCAAACAACACTGGTCATCTATATAAAACAAAGAAGCCTAGGCTACCATGTCCACAACAGAAGCCCTTTTGACAACAAAGTATTTCCTTTTTATACTGCATTAATTAGATATGACTTTGCCAGGGCACCATGCCATAAATTCCAGGTTTATACAATAAGAAATCAAGATACAAGAAGCATGCTAGTAATATCATTCCAAGGATAAAGATTTATTCCTCTACTGTTACTAGTGTTATGTTTTATATAAAAGAAAGAAAGAAAGAAAGGAAGAAAGAAAGAAAGGAAGGAAGGAAGGAAGGAAGGAAGGAAGGAAGAAAGAAAGAAAGAAAGAAAGAAAGAAAGAAAGAAAGAAAGAAAGAGAGAAAGGAAGGAAGGAAGAAAGAAAGAGAGAAAGAGCCAGGATATGTTTGGTAGAGGCATGGCATGGTGAGGTGGAAGGGGGTGCGTCTGCGGGCCCATGCTGAAGCATCCTTTCCCCCTGAGGTGCCAGCCATATGACAGGTATAGTATGGAATAGAGTTTATTTAGGGTATGGGGAGGGGAGGGAAGGGGAGGAAGGAGTAGAGACAGAGATAGTCAGGGGTGGGGGGAGTAGAGGGAGTAGAGGGTAGAGGCAGGCCAGGAACACAGGGAGGAGGAGGGGGGAATGGGGAGAGAAGGAACAGAGAGGGTAAGAGAGGAAGAGAGGAGGGGGAAAACAGCCCTTTTCATAGTGAGCCAGGCGTACCTGGCTATTCCCAGGTAACTGTGTGTTGGAGCCTAGAAGGAATGCTGATAACTAGCTCCTTTTAATCACCATGGCATCAGTCAGTTTGACCAAGCCCTACCTATTTCATCTGCCTGACATTCTGGCAAATGGAAAAAGTAAAGCCTTTTCCTCCCAAACGTAAACTCCCATAAAATTCCTTTAGGCAGTTCCTTCCATATGTAGTATTTTCCTCTATAGAAATGTGTGATCTATCATGTTAATGAGAAGACTCGTGAACTTTTACAAGTTACGTAAAAGAAGGACTAGGTGAGATCGTTTCTAGTAGTAATTCTCATGGGTATACCTGGGAAGCAGACTTTGGAGAACAGTTCTGTTCTCCAAAGGATTTGATGTAGAAAGTCAAAACTCCAAAAAGAAAATCTCCAAATTATCCTAACCAATTCAAACAAACTAACCAATTCAAATACAGTAGTGTAGGAAGGGAAGACTCATACACAGAGAACAGGTGGAGATAACGTGGACAATAAAATAAGACGGAGATTCTTAAACTAAATCTTCACTAGGCAAGAGAAATTTCTGCCTGCTATGGTCAATGGCCACTGTGTGTCACTCAGAGCTATAGACAACATTGTCTAATAGTCAGTGTTGCTGAAGCATCCAAAACTACAGACTCCTGAACACAGGAATCAATAAAGAACCAGGCAAAATGAAAAGCTCAAGGAATAACAGAACAATTTAGTAGAATTATATAAATGTCTCAGTATGTGGTGGGGTTGCAGAGGTCTGGAATAAGGGTTCTGCAGCCCAGAGTTGAATATGCCTTACCTAAGATGGTAGAAAGCTTGTATGAACAAGAACATCTGCCCTAGAAACCTGTTATCCATTAATCAGAGTATCGCTATTGCAAAGCAGACCCCAAGGGAACTGTCTTGACGCATGATTCCTAAACATTGCTTTATTGTTCGTGTGATAGACCTGAAGGCTCAGAGGTACGTAGAAGTTTAAATCAAGGGTAGTCAAGACCAGTGTTATATTTCTAATCCAAAGGAGTTTAGCAGAAGCAAGACCAAGGCCTATATATAGTAGTGGAGGAATATTGACAATTTAAGAAAGCTCTAGACACTCCTATTTTAAATGGTCAGAACAACGCTCCGGAACAGTGTGGTTACCTGAGACACAGTTTTAGAGACTTCCAAAGTGGATGGTTATTATTTTCATGGAGAATCCTCTCAGAAAATGTCTCCCCTTTATCTTCTTCCTATTGACGTCAGTTTTCCCCATGACCCTTACAGTCATGTCTGAGGTTTACATGCAACACTGGACTTCTGAAGGTTGACAGACGATTGTGCACTTAGCAGGTTTGATGTCAGCATTATGATTGCGGTAGTAAGGAGTCGTAGACATTTTTAACAACTTAACTGCTCGTGGCCAGTTCCTCATTTTTGCACGTGAACACTAGGTGCTACAATTTGTTTGGTCCTGTAATCTTACAATTTAATGTCACCTTTCTCAAATTATAAGTATAAAGAGAGGTGGCAGCAAGATGCAAAAGATATTTTTATTAGAACTATTCAATATAAATTAAGCCTGATGCTTTGTGCCTGTAATTCCAGCACTCAGAAGGTTGACTGGGTGGGTGTCAGGGTGGGGTGTGGTGGCTGCATCTTTTGCAAGAGCAAAATCAAAAGAACAAACAATAAAGAAGTACTTAAACATTTTTAGTATTTTTTTTTGTAAAAAGATGGGGAACCATGTAGCCCAGACCAGTCTTGAATTTGAGCCATATATATATATATATATATATATATATATATATATATATATATATATATACACCCACCCAAGATGGCGTCGAGTTTCTAAACTATTTTTACGTTTATGTCCTGTACATGTATGTGCTGCCATCTACATATGGAGTTCAGAGGACAACTTGCTTGAGTCAGTTCTCTCCCTCCAGCACATAGGTTCCAGGGAGGTAATTGAGGTTAGGAGGCTAGGCAGCAAACCCCTTTGCCCACTAAGCCATCTCAGCAGCCCCAGATCTTGAATTTTTGATCCTCCAGCCTCCACCCCAGGGATTGAAGGCCTGCTCCAGCATTCACTCTTTTATCCCTGACAGTATTAAAGGTCCAAAAGATAACCAGCTAAAAGAATTCTTTTTCTAAAAGTCTGAAGCCATGGCATCTCCAGAAAAGATGGGTTCCCAATTCCTTATACTGAAAGTGAGACGAAGTCACCTGGTGGAAGACACTTTGCGTCAGTTAAGAAATGCTGAAGACTGGGACCTTAGGAAGCCACTAACGGTAAAACAAACAAACAAACAAAAACAAACAACCTCACTGGGTTCTTTCTTTCTTTCCTTCTTTCTTTCTTTCTTTCTTTCTTTCTTTCTTTCTTTCTTTCTTTCTT